GGTGAGGAAGAAAGACGCCAACTTCCAGGTTGCAGCTCACTCGACGGGACCCAGCCATGTTACCAAGTTTGACGATGCCAAAATCCTCGCAAGGGGTGACAACCGCATGAGCCGCGAGCTGCTTGAGTCGTGTTTCTCAGGCCCCCAGTCCATCAACAAGCGCAACGATTTGGCGTTTCCTTACTATGTACTGAGACATTGCTTGAGCCAGAGAATCAGTCAGGTGTGTGCGGTTGCAGTCATTCTTGACTCCAAAGCCGCGAAATGCCAGTGAGAGACACGTCCGGGGGTGACGTTTCACGGAGGTAGTGTTCAAAGTGTGTTGCCCCCGAAAGTTCGGTCACGCCTTCCGCCGACCGTAAATTGATATCATCATCATTCCTTCCGACAACTGGCCGAGCTGGTCCCACCGACTGTGTTCGGGGGGCAAAAATTTACAGACTCCAAACTTCTAAATACTAGTGAGCCTAGCCGCGTTTCCTGTTCCTGAATGATCGGTTATTTTGGCAACTAGCCTTCCTAATTTGTGATTATATTGACACAAATACGAGTCAGGACGGCTTTGTTAGTGGCTGATACAGTCCCACTGTACTTCAAGTTTTTGGCCATTCTGACGTTTTTTGACTATCAAGTAATCCTATACTAATTGCCCCGATTGTATTACTTTCTGAAGCACATTTCTGCTGCCCCTTCTACCCCTTATCTATCAATGCCAACTTTATTTCTCCTCCAGGTTGGGACTCAGAAAATAACACCGGCTTTGAGGACCATGTCTTCCTCAATCGCTTTTTGGATCGCACCTCGAAAAAGCCTGCTCCGCTGACCGCCTTCATGGAGCTGGTGTGTACGGGACTGGCACAGAACCCTTACCTCGACAGTACCGAGAAGAGGAAACATCTGGAGTGGTTTGAGGGTTACTTTAAGACCAAGGCCGGACAGATAGAGGCGGCGGTGCGGGAGGAAAAGCGGTTGGCCGAACTGGAGGCGAAAGCAAAAGCTACTACTCAATAAAGTACTCTCAGGCGCACTCGTGTAATATTATTAGACCCATCTTCCCATTCCCGTATGCTACTGACGTCATTTTGCACATAAATTTGCCTATCGCAATTTCTTAAAATTTAATACAGTGCTTTCTGAACATTCTTTTTATTTCGGTCTTTGGGTGGCCCTAATACACAGTGATTTACGAGGAATCAGGTGCATCGGAACTGTGTTATTTGACAGACGCTGTAGTCTACTCTTGAAAGTTCAATGGCCCAGAACCTCACGTACCTAGTACGTCGACCAGAAGAAAATCCTAGATTTTAATTCGAGTCCAATTTCTCAGAGCGTTTGCAGCTCTGTCAGTTGGGCTACGTACTCGTGTTCACTAAAGGATATGACGCCCACGTCCAGTTCGGCTGTTGGATTGGATCAGTAAACACCACTCACAGTGACCCCGAATACGATCCTTTTTTTCTTTTGACGCCCTGGTGGGGATATTATCAAGGAATTAAGGTAATAGAGTAGAGCCTTGTCACTACGATATTTAGACCCGGTCTCTTCGG